CAATGCTTTATTTTAATCGAATTAGAGTGCGTGTGTGTGGGGGGGGTGGTCTCAATACCTTTTACGTCCATTTTAAAGCACATTGTCGTGTGGTTATAACTGATAAACGTTGATCAAACATACAATGAAATGTAAATTTGCATTTTCCAAAGATACTGCAGCTTTGGAAGTCACCAAATTTTGGCGGCAATATTTTTCTCGCTAATTATACCTCTGACACTTAACTAGTCGACTCCCACGTCATTCCATCGTAAATACCCCGACTTTTATTTAAGAAAATTTGGATTGTCTTTTTTCATCGGAAGCAAGACATAAAAGACAACTTTAAGATTATACCATAACCAAAATTGACGAGGGGCTGATTCCACCATGTCGTGACATATAGCATTTTTGGAGCATCCGAACAAAGTGAGAACCATGATCACCGATGTCTGTTACAGATATACAGCAGACTTTGAAAGAAAGATCAAAGCTGTGGAGATAAGATGCTTCCGAAAAAATCCTTGGTATCTCATACAAAGATCTCATCACAAATGATGAAGTCAAACAACGGATCAAAAATGAAACTGGACAATACGCTAACCTTCTCACTCGGGTCAGGAAAGGCAAATTACAATGGCATGGACACATCACCCGTTCATCCGGCCTTGCCAAGATGATCCTGCAAGGCAGCGTCCTGGGAAACAGGAGCTGATGCAGACCGAAGAAGAGTTGGGAGGACAACATCAAGGAATGGGCAGACCTGGAACTCAAAGACTCGCTCGGAAAAGCTGAAGATCGGAAGCAGTGGAGGAAGCTGGTGGCCAAATCTTCAAAGACGCCCCGATGGGCATCCAGTCTACGGGATTGGTGAAGGTGAATATTGCAGACATGACGCAGATATGGCACTTGATAATGATGAATTCACGAAGACTAAGGAGACTTCAGACACACCTTAATTCTGTACACGTGTCTGTTTGTGTGTATATGCCAGTCTGTCTGGGTCTCTGTGTGTTTCTCTGTGTGTCTGTGTGTTTGTCCATGTATCTGTCTGTCTGTCTATCTGTTTGCTTGACTGTCTGTTGAGTGTTGGTCTGTGTCCCTTTGTTTCCTTGTGTATCTGATTGTCTGCATATTGTGTCTGTCTATCCGTTTGGTTCACTGTCTGTCTGCGTGTCTATTTGTGCTGCTGTGCGTTTCACTGTGTATCTGTGTGTCTGTATAGGTGTTTGTCTGTCTGTCTATCTGTCTGTCTATCTGTCTGCGTGCCTATGTCTCGGTGTGCCCCTCCGACTGTGTGTCTGTGAGTCTGTCTGCCGGTGTTTCTGTCTGACTGCGTGCCTATCTATGCACCCTTATGTTGTGTATCTGTCTATCTGTGTGCCTGTGAGTCCGTTTGTACGTTTGCCTGTGTGGTCTGTCTGTTTGTCGGTCTATGTAGCCAGTGTGCTTGGACACAACTAGTATCATGACATTATGTCGCAATGGCACAATATATAACTTGATCTCTGAGCCTCAACGACCCATACGAAGCGAATTACACAATGGCAACCCTCTCCCCCCACTCTCTAGCTCTTCCTCTCT